ATCATACATACATAAAAAATATTAGACTGATTTTCAAAAACATACAACAATGGTTATATCAAAAAATTAATCGTAGAACGCGAAGGAGACGTTACACGTCACAAATAAAGTAAAAAACACAAAATTCATACACAAAATAAATCTTCATTAATATTAAAAGAATATTTAACAGAAATATTGTAGTACACCGATGTTAGATAAAAAAAATGGTTAAATAGGTCGTCGAATCCGTCCCATCCAATTTTTCTAAGTATAAATCCATAGAAGTTTCTTGAAATAGGATACAGTGTTCGTTTTTCCAAAAATTCATTGCAAACACCGCAAAAGATTTATTTACGTAAAACTTTGTATATAACATATTGATTGGAGTCACACAAAATTTATAGAAACCAAACAGAATATTCACTCTCGTCGCAACACTTATCAAATGTAAATTCAATATTAGTTTACCATTTCACAATCTAAATTTTCCTTAAAAAAACATTTAATTACATAATTATCCATTGCCAATAACAATTTAAATGTTTAGAAATAATAATATTTGAATTCCGTACAATAGTAACAATTTGCTTATTCCAGCACAATTATTCACAAATAATCATTCTCCGAAAGACATTAAATTCGATCAAAAAGAAGGATAGAGCGTTCGAAAACTTCTTCATCGTATGAAAACAATCGTAAATTGGAGGCGGGCCGTATTCGCTAACCCGGGCTTACAATGAAACAGAAAAGGACAGGGTTAGTCGCGTCCCTTATATCTTACACCGTCTGAAATTGAAACTCCCCCGAATCGGGCGTGAAATGGGTCTGGTGATCGCGTGTTTGGCGGCCGGATCAAATTTTCATGGGACTTTCGCCGGCGTTGATACACGCGGTGCACTAAGATTTCCTTCACGTCCGGAATGGGGGAGGCGAAACGCCGTTGGTCAATGCTATCGCGTCGCTCGAATTCGGGTCACGTGCGACCGAAATTTCGGCGCCTCGTTCCGTACGTTTCCCTCATCTCTTAATAGAGTGGATCGTGGTAGGGAAAGGTTGGACGAAGAATTGGGCAAGGCTCGTTTCTGTAAAACGGATGAAACGCATTCTCTTTATTTCTTTACGCCATCGAGTACTTATCTTACGTGACCGAAACAATCTTTCTCGTCCCTTTTTTAACGTGACTTTTAGTGAATGAAATTCGGACATTGGTGGCTACACACTAGGACCAGGCAGTCTCGCCTATTTACAATAGATCTTTGTACAAAAACTAATCTCATATAAACAGTTAAAACACACGCGTCCGCGCCAAGCCCGTTCCGCGAGCGGAAACGGGGACTCGGTGTACCTGACCGTGTTCGTTAATTCGGCGACGTTGTTTTGTCAAATCGTTTGCCCGTCCTTGTAATCCTGACTGCCGCGCCCTTTCCCGTTTCTCGCGAACGTGGCTGAACTCTATTATAAAAATCTCCCGACGGTAAGAGACCGGAACCATCGAACGGAATTTCCGTCGCCTTCGAATGCGCTCCGTTAACCACCGAGCGAGTTTATCTACCCTTTCTCTCGATCTCACGCTCTGTTCCTTTATAAGCGTCAACGTTTCATTAACTCCGCGGCTAACTCGCGGCGTCCGCGTATCCAATTTTACGCTGCGCCGGAACCAGGCTCAATATCTCGATACGGGTCCGCGTTTCCGTCGCGATCACCCGGAGCTATTTTTCAGTTTTGTACATAGCGGAAGTTCGCAGTCGTTTCACAGAAGGGATCGGGGTGCTGAAACGTTGAACGTTTCCGCGTCAATCGTAGGAAGACGCCACTCGCGATCACGACGCGCGGGAAATCGGACACGTTCCCGGATCTCGGATGTCGAAACGGTGACCGATTCCATTCGATCCTCACTATCAGCGATCGACGCGAACATCCACGGTGTCGTTCGAATTCGCCGGCCGGCGATCGCGGCCCGGATTTATATACAACTCTCTTGTATCCGGTTCGAGCGTGTCACCACTTCCGGCTGATGAAACTTGCCCTGCGCGGAGATCGACGATGATACTGGCCTCTGAGGCATCGACGAGAGCCCTTTGCTCGACCTCTGCAGACTGTAGTACACCTGAAATCAATTGAATCTCTAACTCGGACGTGGTCATTTCATAACTGTTTGGTGTTTTCGGTGAAATTGTTTTTGGCCGATGAAATGAAAATAAGAATACAGCGAGACATCGTTTAATCAGTTAACTGCGTTCGACGAGTATACACGTCATCTTAAAATACGAAATGCCACTAATTTGTTCAACGATCAATTATTTATTTGTTCGGATAAATGTGTAGTTCTTCTTCGTTTTGCTTTAGTTTTTTGTTAAAATATGTTATAGATGCATTTGCTCTATGTTTGACGAGTATATATTTTATTATTTAACTTTATTGCGTGCACAATGAAAACTTTTTCAAATTGAATTCCGCAGTTAATTAGTCACATATCAAAGCTTTGATTATTTTGTTCTATCAAACTAAGCAATGATCAAAAGTCACCTCTCGAGCCAAAGGGTAAATAACACAAATATTTCCATATTGTTGACTCGTATTATTTTACTGCGCGCACAATCAGAGATTTTTTAAACTAAATTCCACAGTTCACTGGTGAACCCTTTGGACTCGATAATCTATTCGTAGGTGCCTCATGGTTTCAGATGGAAAAGTTGTGAAATTTGATATTCAGTAAGATATTTTTTGTAATGTAATTGGATAGGAATATTGATTATTTCTATTTGTATTTAATAGAGTCAAAAGTTTGATGATGTTTTACTGAAAAATTATGAATTTATCTAGCAAGGAAACTTTCAAGTGCATAGGTTTAACACTACCCTAATTAATGTCCTTCTTTAAGCCTTAAGATTTGTTTCCGAAATATACGAAAGTTCTACATATTCTGTAACTCGATATAATATGGTTCTTGTTGTTGTTGTTGTTGTTGTTGTTGTTGTTGTTGTTTAATAGATTTTTTATCTTTTCTAAGTGGACTTAAGCCACTCTCAAAATAAATGATATATATATGTACTAAGATGATTTTATTTAACGTCAGTTTATTTAACCCTTCGTGTTTTAATAACATGACTTAAACGATTTTAATTAGGGTGTTACTAGGATTAATGAAACTGTAATCGGTGGTAATGAACAAATAATCAATTATGTGTGAAATTATCGTGTCGTATTAGTATTATTTTCTTTTGTTTTTTTTTGTAAATGAACTATTAGCAGGTGCATCATCCGCATTAATAGTCTTCGTTGCAAGATGCTTAATATATTTTTGAGTGATAGAAAATCGAGTTTTCATTAATATTTTGTGCACTCGAGGGTATTACAAGAAAAAGTTGTTTCCTAAAATAAAATAGATCATGAGTCATATTTTTGCAGCTATAAAAAAATAAATAATTAAACAAAATTCAAATCACAAGTATAAAGTAATGTTAAAAATTTAATAAATGAAAAATAAGATACAATTATATTGTAATATCGAATAAATTCTTTAAACTCCAAAACATCGTTCCAATTAAACGTTTTCCAAAGTTTCAATAATTTCTTAACAATATTCTAGATTTACTTCAGTTGTCATAAGTATCCTAATACTTTTCAACGAAATTTGCATGCATCATAACCTCTGAAAAAAAGTCCTTCGAAATAATTTCACTTGAATACTACAATAAATACACGATGAAACAGAGAAAAAGCCTATTGTCACAATTTTTATAAGAATTACATATAAATCATATTAAACATTCAATAATTCTAGTACCAAGTTATCGGGAAAACCAAAAGAAATCAATATATCGTCCACATCATCATAAAATATTTCCTTAGCACGATCGAGAACAAAATTCCTAAAAAACAACGCTAACGATACCGACGCGCACGGTAAATTCCAATTTCCTTGAACAATAAAAACGAAACCTGAAGGCACGGCGGACCGTTACAGACGCATCGATATTATGAATATTGCAAATTCGCGGCCGCATTAATAATGGAGGAAGCGGAGGCGTGAGGATGACGGGAAGAATAATCAAATACCGCGAGCTCGCGAAATTCCGTTGAAACAAAAACACCGGAACAAAAACATCGAAAGCGAATAGCGGCGAGCGGGTCAGTTAACCGGGCGCAGCGCCGTGAAATAGAAAAGAACGACGGTGTGTGGGTGAGTGGGGGACAAAGGTGGAGGGGCGGCGAGGGAAGGCAATTCGGTATTAAAATTATTCAAACATTTAATGGAACGCGACTAGCGTCGAAGGAAAACGGAACCCCGAGTTCGAGACGAGAGTTACGCGCATCGGGACTGGCCCTCTCGAATTATCGAGAAAACTTCGACGTAATTAAACTCGCGGAAGCGCAGATAACCCAAGGCTTCACTAAACCGGAAAAGTTAAAGTGGAAGACTGCCGCATATTAAAGCGACCTCGTCTTGGCTCGTATCCCATTCCCTTCGTCTTCGGAACTTCGAATATTTAAAACAACCTTGTCGATGTACTGATGCGGAGGGGCGGTGGCGGGATCAAGGCCCGTTAGAATGGTCAGGGACGTGAAGAGGGGCAGACCGACGAGGCGAAGTCGTAGCAAACGAGGGGAGGTCGATTATATTACTTCCTCCGGCGAAAAAACGAACGGGATTTTCCTGCTGAATATTGTACCACGATTTTATCGATCGTTCATTCCAGTAATTCGCTGTTTTCCCTTCGATGTCCTCGCCTGCCCAATCCACGGGACCCCGGGACCCCGTCACCCTCTGTCCGCGGCAAAGGGAACCGTTAATTGCGTCTCATTAATCAAATCGCGTCGACTAAATATACCCGGCACGTTAGATACCAAAGAAAAAGGAGATAGATTAAATTTACAGACGGTAATGAGTTTACGAGGCTAATTATCGAGATGATTTATACGCCCTCGTGATTCTGTATCGGGTCATCTGTAAATAGTAGGGTGAAAGGGAAAGATGATGATCAGTAGATAGCAGGTCTTTATGCAAATTCAAATTTTTAGAAGTGCGGTTGGGAAAATGGAATTACAATGGAAAACGATTTTTGTTAAGGTACATCGTAAAAGGAGTTATACTTTGGATATTTCATGTGGTTTTTTCGTATCGTGTGTATACTATATAATTCTGGGTTCTTAAACATTTTATAGATGCAAAAAATTCCGCAGTGTAGTAATCAATAAACAGTGCTTGGTGTGCGTGTATCATACATTTTTAATCCTTTTTTTATTTGAGTAGGGGCCTTTGAATTTGAATATATAGTATCCGAATATTTCGTTGTTTGAATGAAGTACCTTTGGGCTGTAGATTCTCCGTTTACAGAAATGTGTATGTTGATTAATGTATAGCGTGCAGTGAGTCGAAAAAATATTTTCTCATAATAGCTTTATACTATTTTTTAGTAGTTTATCGTACGTGAAGATTTGTTTATTTAAAAACGTTATTTTAGTAAAGCAAAGAAAATGTACGCTCCATTATCAAAGCTATATAATTAATTATCATTTGTATAGAACAATAAAAGAGGTTATATATATGTAAACTATCATAAGTACTCATGTATTTCAATAATCTGTTAGTGAGTAAAATTTTGTAAGATTATTGTTAAGATAATAATAATGGAACAGTCGAACAAAACAAAGTATTATTAATGTATAGAGAAAGGTTTCGGTTCATTTTTTATTTTCTTAGTGATTTGATAAACAAATAAATATTTGATGGGGGTATTTTATGCATTTATAATTGTATAAAAGGAATTCGTTTTATTAACAGTATAATATTTTCTTTAAAAAAATATAGATTGAAGTAATAGATTCTATTATTAAAGAAAATATATCATTGATCGAAATTTTGAAATCGAAAATGCAGTGACGATACTAAAACAAAATCAAAATATTCATAGATGAATTTAAACGTGTTATCTGTATACAGCCAGAAATAAGTATATAAGTAACTTATAACAACCCTTCATGCATAAATATGAGTTAGTTGATTTACAGTCTCGATTTCGAGTGTAGTGAATTCTCGATATTCCGAATACGGATTACTGTCGATTTCCGATTACACGGACATCGATCCTATGATTTCCAATTATCCAAATGTATGGGATGATTCATCACAAAACCAACTCCCCATTATCTTCTTCACGATAGAGATACGAAACAGTGACAAAAATAAATGTTTCAATGGAATATTCAGTGACCATGTATTTTTGTATGAAAATAATTTTTTATTCTACATTAAAATATTAATTACAGATACTAAATCTTGTAATGTTCTCGCCGATTAACGCGAACAGTGCGATGCTATAGAAAGTACAATTTATTACAATGCAAAGTCTTTATACGAAAAGAAACTATATAAGAAACGACTAATGAATGAACAATACGGCAGTTGATAATAAACGTGAAATGTAATTTTGGAAATTATATACTAGAAGCATATTTTAGTTATCACAAAACATGGACAAACGTTAACACAAATATTGAGATAATAGAAAACAGTATAAAACATGAATTTGTTTCTGGATGTTGCCGAGATAAATAAACATTGCTCAAATTTAAAATTATTTCATTATCAAAATGTTTTACTTATTCTTAGATTGTTTCGTTATTATTCCACGCAATCGATATTTTATTGTATTAGTAATTCACATTTATATAAAGCAAATAAGAGTAGAAAATTAACGTAATAATTCGAAAATCCATTTTGAAATGTTTAGATTTTTAGAACTTTCACTTCTTCGTAACAAACTTTAATAGTTTAAAGTAAAGTTCGAATTAAAGTTTACTTAACCTTTTGCCCTACGATTCATTTCTCAATTATGATCGATACAACTACTTTGCCATTAACAATTTATTAAGAAAAAGAAACAAATTATACGCATATTTTATATTAATCTTTGCTCCGAGGTATAATTATTGATAACAGAAGAATATTTCATTTGAATTGAAAAGAACTAAGTAATATTCATGTTTGTTCAATTCTGTTTAAACTCTTCACCATGAATCTCACACGTTATTATAAGGTTAAAGTCATTTTAGAATGTTCAATTTCCCGAAGTGAAGAGAGTTTTGTAACTTACATTTTGGTTGTTACGCTGGTTGTATGCATCCATCGCCATCTGCTTGAAGTCTGCCATAGTGGGTGCATGGTTATAAGTGTTCGACTGAGGAATATGGTTCTGGGGATAATTTATGGTCGGCGTTGGCAGGCAGTCGCTCAATATTGGGTCCGAGGGCAGATCCAATCCATGTTGCACGATGGGTCTCTTCTCTGGCGAGATCGCGTCGTCTATGACCCGATCCTTCTTTCTTCTTTGCGGGGGTGTCTTGTATATCGGTGTGTACGTTAGGGGTCTTCGCTCTGCGAACAGATTTGACGAAGCCATGCAAAGATTTACATTCGCTAAGAAGATTACCCGATTAAATCTAGACGAGAGCGGTCTTTATACGGGAACAATAAATAGAACATTTATAACACGCGGTCTTTATTCGATATCCCAATGGGGATGCGTGTACTCGGTTCGGATTTCTGGATTTAACTTTTGTTCGTCCCGAGGTGAGTGGTTTGAAGGGGAATTTAGAAATATACGGTTCTTTCGGCATGGTGATTAACTGTGCCTACAAATCGAAAAATTTTTTTCTATACAAATGAAACTATTTGATATTCTTTTATGCAAACGAAACTGTTTTCACGCGAAGTAGTACATAAAAGGATTAAATGTCATTTATATTAAAATATAGAGCAGTGCGCGTACTACCTCGAAGACAAATAAACAAAAATAATTCAAAGCCACTACTTTCTTCTACTAAAGTGTTAAATAAAAAGTTCCTATGTACTAACTAATTTATGTTAACCCAAAAATAACGTGGTAATAAAAAAAAATAATACCACAACGTCCAGTCAACGAAATCAAATCAGCATAATACACGGTCAAAGCAAGCTTTACCAAAATCCAACTTCCCTCCGAAAACACAAGCAATCATAACCACAAAAGCTGTTCACGCGAAACGCGCCCCGTAATTCTCCTTCCGCACGATCTCACGTGAAACGTCCACTCGCGTGATTCGATTACCAAGCAACAGGGAAGGCGCGCAATTAAATTAAATAACCAATAAAATCGCGGGTAACGAAAAGAAGAGATTAAAGTATCGCATGCCCTATTCGGGCAACTTTTCATCGCGATAAACGTAGATAAGTGGTAACGGCGCAGTATGTAGAAAAGAAAAAGAGGGGGCGGAGGAAGGGAGGGAGAGAGGGGGATGGAGGGAGAGAGAGAGAGAGACCGTGTACACGTAGACCGTAATTTGGTGCACGTTTCGAACAATCGGAAACTCGTAGACTCACCATACTCGTTGGGTATGATGTCTGGATCGATGTCATCGACCGCTTGCTTGGTCTGAGGGTGTATCGGGGTGGTTGCACCTGCATTAGGTGGCTCGCACACGATGGGAGCGTGCTTTGGACTTCCGGGCCGGCCGTTCGAGTGCTTCCGGTAGAGTGCCGCCAGGATTCCAGCTACGGCCAGGGCCAAAAGAGTTGCCGTAGCTGCCAGACCCAACAGCAATGGGCTCAGCATCGATGCGTCCGTGGTGCCTGTTACGACGCAACAATGCAAAATGCTTGATCAACCGGAACTTCCATCCAGCTACCTATCTGCTGTGCCTCTCCCGCTCGCCTTACGCTTTCGTTTCTGCTTCTCGATTATTGTGGTGTATTATATATCGTTTATCCCCCCACGACATACCCAAACCATTCCGCGTCTCTGGACTTCGCGGGTTTTATTGTTAGGCGCTGCTGAATTTATCATTCACCCACTATTGTTATCTTTCGCCGTCCATTCTCCGACCGGTCACATTAGTTCGCTTCATTGTTCGTTCGGAGCCCTATCCGCTTTTAACATATTCAACAGTGTTTCGTTGTTTCATCTTTTCCCCGCGCGCTTTCCATTATACCGGTGTATTGGTTTTTGTTGCCATTTAAATTTTCCCCGACATTCTTCGGGCAAAATGCTTATCGGTTTTGGATGAATGGAGACGCGTCTGGGTGGCGCGAGATGCTCGAGCGAAGGAGGTCGCGAAATTCTGCGGTAGATATTGTTCGATGAATAATGAAATGAAGCTCGAACCTGCGCGGAGTTTGGTATTGTCTGTTTATCATTTGATGGTTGGTGGTCGGATGTAGGGGCAAGGCGCGTATTTCGTGATGCGTTTTGTTTGTAGCTCTGATTAGTTACGTGTAACCGTATTGGCGAAAAGCAAATAAGTATGGGAAATAAGATGAGGAAAGATGAAGGTTGATCGATTAGACCAGTACTCATAGTTGTCAAGTGATGGACGGAGAATAATAACTAAGAGTTTTTGAATTATACAAATTTTCGTTATATTAATGTATGTTTATCGTTTAATATAGTTTTTTAATTCGCTTGTTGTTGTAAATATTATTGGTACACCAAATCTTGATTTCAGCAGAATTTGCTTAACTCGTCAAGAGGTTTACGCACTTTTGAAAACAAAGATATACCGTCCCTCTATTCTAGAATGCAGTGTCTGCAAAATACACTAGTAAAAAATTGATGAAGTAAAAGGATGTGGAGCAGGTATAGGTACATAGACACTTTACTGAGTGTCCTGTATGGGCGGTAAAAAGGATTTTCTTTACTGATCACATTTCCTTCACAAACGAGGGGGAATTGGGATTTACAAGCAGTGGTAAAAAGAAAAAAATGTTAAGATAACAGAAGAATTACTCTATAACTTGGAATAGATGATTAATAGCATGTACAAATTATTTATCAAAGATTTTTTAAGATAGAATATATGATACCCCAAATACCAAAAGAAATATATAATTCAAATGTTTGAACTTAAAGGCAAGGTCAAAGAACTAAAAGGTGAAAATATTTTTAGCTATGAAAAATTGGAAGCCCAACGAAAAATTGCATTGTTATCTTTAAATAAGTAATATGAGGTGAATATTAAAATATTCAAGTGTAAAAAGTGTCTTAGAATAGATGATGCGATTGAACATGAAATATACAATGTAGCACAGTTATTTCAAAAACGGAAATCAAATTTTCTCCTTTGTGGTCCAGTTGTCGAGAAAATGGAATTCAAAAATTCGTCGAGTATACGCGCATTAGTATGTACGAGAAGTAGAAACGGTAAATCATGAACGAACACGTTAACGGATTTCTATTCAAGAGCATGCGTACTCAATGATTTGATAAACTCGATTTTCTCCAAACGAAGCTTTAAATGAATAAATGTTGTTTCCCCTTTTCAATTTTTCTTATAAAACCACTTCTTGAATGCTTGTATCAGCCCTGAGACGCTTTCTACATCATCCATTACGCATCGAATTTCTAATAAAAGGAAGGCTACTTTTTCAACGAGTTTATCCATCGTTCGATAATCAAAAAGAAAATATTCTCTAATATCCATATTCATATCTCCTTTAACGATTTCTCCTTTTCATACTTATTCATCGCGAAATTCTTTCATTTACTTTGACTATGTGTATACTGTCCAAACGTATTTGATCATTTTCATTTCATGCGAAATATAGAAAGTTATTGTAGAAATGAAACTGTCCAATATAACTTTTATCGGTGTGTTTTTCTCTATGGCCATATAATCTTAATAATTAATATTGCAAGTAATATTCACCATTAGTTATTGTAAATAACAAGTGACTCGACGTTCTATCCATTTATAACTAGAGACTAAAATAAACAAAAACAGTTATGGATTCGCGTAAGAAGCTTGCAACAAGATTCACAAATAGACATTAAACAAACTTATTTTCAAACTCCACTTTCTCGAAAACAAGTAACTCGAGACATCTTACGAAATAAGTCACACAAAATTATCATTATTGATTTTCAATTGTACACCGTGTCCACGGCTATTAGTCGCATTCAACAAGTTAATTTGCAGCAAAAATTTGATTCTTGTCGTGTACTTTTTATCGCGCGCGCTTGTCTCATTGATGTATGGCTGAGCAAGGGAACATTGATGCCAAGCAGGTCAGGTTAATATGCAGGACGATAATTAACGAAGGTATGTCAATTATGACGCTATTACGGTTCAGCCGATGTATATAATTAGATAAACGTTCTTGCATCGACTCCTCTCAATATGTGTCGCGCCTGCTGCCTGTTCGCGGCAGCGCTTTGACTGTCTGAGCACGTGGAAGCGTGCGGGTGCGTGAATGCGGACGCGCGAAAGCGTATGCATGCACCACTGCAGGGGATGAATCGTAAATCAGCCGTTAGGAGCCGCAGTCGCTTTGGGCTTTAATCGGGGTAAAGCTAGCCGACGTCGCGCGTTGTAAATTTTGGCCGGCGCATAACCGTTGTAAATTATTGAAACCGATTTTTGACCCGAGCCCCTCCGCCATCGTCGGCCCGCGTTGCAAATTCCGATGCCGATCGTTAATTGACGCCCGTGCGGGCACGCGTTTGTTTGACGAGTATTAATAAGGATGTTTGGTTTCCATGCGCGCGTTCATTCGTTGGCCAGCCATTCATTGGGATGAGAATTTTTGCTAAATACCGATACGCGAACACCGATACGGATAATTATTTGGTTGCCTTATAATTGGCACGATGTTATTGTAATGTATCGGCTGAGTCATATGAAAAGAGAACATAAGATATGTACTTGTGTTGTGACACGGAAAAAGTTCTAAGATTTCTATTATATATTATTATATATGTATTTTATTATATGTTTTTATTAATTGAATGAATATTTGTCTCGGAGAGATGTAAGTTCTAAGAAAACTAATATTCGATTTAAAACAATGAATATTCTGAACAAGTTATAGTTGTCTTAAAGGAGTGAAAATTTTAAGGAAACTAATGTTTCCTTTAAAGAAACGAAAATTCTGAGAAAATTATAGTTCCCTGAAAGGAGTGAACATTTTGAGGACACTAATATTTGCTTGAAACAAATGAAAACCTTTCCTATTTAGAAAATTCTTATTTGATTTAAAATGTAAAATATTAAGGCAAAAGGAATTTTTTGCTCATATTCGCTTTTCCGAAATTTTGCTTGTTGATCGCTAGGTACGTTGTGTTATGACTATCAGTCTTCTAACATAAATACTTTTCGGTCTCAACTTTCGCCTGTGCGTTCGTTCCTCTGACAGGGAAATTCTGGGTGCAACACACATTTAGGTGCACAAATCATAGTAATATATATTATACCAATTAAAAGTTTAACTGTGTTAGGAAGCTGTTCCCAGTTAATTCCTACGCTACTATCAACCATGTGCAAACTAACTCTGTGGTATTAATTTATCAACGAGCCGTGGCTATCTCGTCTAAGGGGTGAATCGCAAGTACATAACCACCCTAATCGTGAGCTCCGCACTGAAATGCTTTAATAAAAAAAGAAGTATGACTGTCGCGAGTTTCAAGTTAATAACCGCAGAATGATTAAGCTTGTAAACTGTTTAGATGAATTTGACACATGAGTGAACCCTCGTTAACACCGCACCTTAATTACATGTCAAGTTAGATTGGAATTTAGTTCGCATAATATTCACCAAACAATTGCATAAACAATGTACGTTTATAATATTCTAAACCCTTTTGGATCGATTTTATTCATGACAATACTGAAAAGGTTTCTGTATATATACAGGATGTTTAAATATGCGTGGAAAAAATTATTAAGCGTGATTCTATAAGTAAAAATAAAGTAAACATTAAAGGAACTGTAACTGAAACATAATTTACCTTGTGCTGCACATTTTTTTATCTTTGATCACACTTTAGATATAATTAAAATTGTTTATCTAATATGAGAACAGATATATCGATTAGATTACTGATTTTATATAAACACTGTATTTCTCCTGTCTTCATTTTCCAATGTATGAAAGAAAATTTCGATTTTTCAGTCATTTTTCATCATCTAACCACATACTTGATTGATCAAGACCTATCAAGACCTTTTACGTCGCATTATGCGAAAATATAAAAGTTTAGGAAAAATACAGTTCTAAGCAATAAACAAAAATTATGTATAATTCACTCCTGGGGATCCTAATTTGTATGGTTTCGCAATTTCTCAAAAAATTTATCGATTTTATTTCACGCAGTTTTCAAACGTGCTTGATGAACAAAAAAGCACGATGAATACGAAATTTTCGCGAAAATGAGAAAAACAGCACTAAAACTACCCGCGGTCAATCAAACGCGGGCAATAAAGCGCGAACGTTTATAGAATGCGGCACTCTAGTAATTTTTCCACGTATCACATTAAGCATTCTGATGCTTGCGCCTCTGTCGTTTATTTTTATAGTAATTATAATCTACGATCGTTTGAAGATAAATTTGGTCTTTCAATTAAAAGCACCAGTGCATAAAACATTTTATTTTTCCAATAAATGATAAACAATGAGAGATTCAGCTCGAAGAATATAATACCTACTTTATATTCAATTCAGAATTCTCTTTGTTCGAAAACTAATGTATATTCTGTTGTCACGAATTTGTTCGCAAATCACATATATGTGTACTGTAATGATAACTAAAGAAGTTTTATTAAAAATTCTAGCTATTCATATTCATAATTACAATGTCT